GTCGTCGTCGTCGCCGTCGTCGTCGTCGGCGTCGTCGTCGTCGTCGTCGTCCGTGTCGTCGTCGTCGTCGTCATCGTCGTCGTCCTCCGTGTCGTCGTCGATCGCGCCGTCGTCGTCGCCGTCGTCGTCACCGTCGTCGTCACCGTCGTCGTCGTCGTCGTCGTCGTCGTCGGTGTCGTCCGTGTCGTCGTTGGTGTCGTCGTCCGTGTCGTCGCCGTCGCCGTCGCCGTCGTCGTCGTCATCGGCGTCGTCGTCGTCTTTCGTCGTCCGTGTCGTCGTCGTCGTCGTCGTCGTCGTCGTCGTCGTCGTCGTCGTCGTCGTCGTCGTCGTCGTCCGTCGTTGTTCGTCGTTCGTCGTCTTCTCACGTGGGCAGGCGTTGCCGTCCTGGGGCCGTCTTGGGGCCCTCCTCCTGGGCCGTGTTGGGCGCCTCTTGGGCTGTCTCGGGGCCCTCTTGGGCCGTCCCGGGGCCCTCGCGCGGGCCTCGTTGGCCATCTCGAGGCAATCCTGGTGGCCTCGGGGGCCCTCGTGGGACGTCGGAAGCTCGAAAAGGCGACAGCTCCAAAAACGTTGAAACACACACACACAAGGGAAATCAATGATGCTTGCCTCTCCGAGCTCTCTTGAGAGGGCTCTTGAGGCTCTCTTGGGCATCTCGGCAGCTTCTTGGGCCGTCTTGGAGCGCCCTTGGGCCGTCCTGGGGCCCTCTTGGGTTTTATTGTGCCGCCTGGGGGGTGCTTGGGATGATCTTTCGCCGTCTTGGAGGCCCCTTGGGCCGTCTTGGGCTCGAAACGGTAATTTGTTATGGAAGCAGTTCCTGACATAAGCGGGAAGGGCGTGGAAGGGAAGAGTTGCGCAAGAACTTGCAGCTTCATCGCGATCAAATGTAATATAGGCGAGCTCTCCGAACGTTCACAAGCATATTCCTGATTCTCCTACCCACTCCTCCGTACGAGAAGGACGGCGGCGAAGACGACTACCGGGGGAGCAGGGGGGGGAGGAGGAGAAGGAGGAGGAGGAGGAGGAGGAAGAGGAGGACGAGAAGGAGGAGGAGGAATATGAGGACGAGGAGGAGGACGAGGAGTAGAAGGAGGAGCAGCAGCAGAAGCAGCAGCAGCAGCAGCAGCAGCAGGAGAAGAGAATGAGGAGGGGAGGGGAGGAGGATGAGGAAGGAGAAACAGGAGCAGGAAAAGGGGTAGGAGGACGACAAGGAGGAGGAAGGAGAAGGAGGAAGAAGGGAAGGAGAAGGAGAAGGGGACGAGGACGAGAGGGAGAAAGAGGAAGGACAGGAGGAGGAGGAGGAGGAAAAGGAGGAAGAGGAGGAGGAGACCAGGTGGTGCCGAGGGCCCGTTCGAAGGCATGGTTTAGGCAATTTCTTAAGCGAAGCGCTGATTGTTAAGCGAACATGTTAAGCACCCATGGTGTTTCAATACTTTCACTTCCAGGACCATCTTGGAGGCCATCCGAGATCGCTCCGAACAGATGCCTTACCAGAGCTCTTAGCGCATCCCATGCTTCGAGGATGTCTCAGGCGAAACCCCCTTTATTTGAGATTCCGAAGATTAGGCCAGCGATTCCAACATCCCCATGGTCCGAGGATGTCTCGGGCGAAACGCTCATGTGTAGCATACGAGGTCTTAAGAAGAGACCCCCAGTATCGCGACTCGGCGAGGATGTCTCAGGCGAAACGCTCGTTGTTTTCAAACCGCTCCTGACATGAGCGGGAAGCGAGTGAAAGGGAAGAATTGCGCAACAAGTCGCAGCGTCATCGCGATCAAATGTAATACAGGCGAGCTCCCCGAACGCTCACACGGGATACGTATAGACACGCGCCCCCCGAACGAAGGAGAGGAGAAAGAGGATACTTACCCTGGCGACGTACCCAACCCTTGCGCAATGCAGGGCATAAGTACATCAGGATTGCTACAACGGGGGCGATGACGTAACATGGACGCAAGTGCTTTTGCGAGCAGCAATCGGAAGGCTCGCAGGCCCCCGATCAAGATCTAAGGGCTACACAATAACAAATTACACCCGCTGGCTGTGCCATGCGCGCGTTGCACACAACGTATCCCGCAGCAACTCTTGAGAGCCCCCGCGGGATACGTGAAGGCGCAACGTTATCGCCATCGCCCGGCAGATGGTCTGTTTTACAAATCACCCCCGTTGGTTGTGCCATGCGCCCGTTGCCCCAAACGTCCCGCAACAGCTCTCCAGAGCCCCCCCAAGGACGGCGAGGTCCCGCTCAGATCCCCGCGGTGCCTCACTCTGCAGGACCCACCAGCAGCCCTCGAAAGTGGCGACAGCGTCCTGATCGCAGCCCCGCAGGGACGGCGAGGTCCCGCTCAGATCCCCGCGGTGCCTCACCCCGCAGGACCCACCAGCAGCCCTCGAAAGTGGCGACAGCGTCGCAGATCGCAACCCCCCAGGGACGGCGAGGTCCCGCTCAGATCCCCACGGTGCCTCACTCCGCAGAACCCACCAGCAGCCCTCGAAAGTGGTGACAGCGTCGCAGATCGCAGCCCCCCAGGGACGGCGAGGTCCCGCTCAGATCCCCGCGGTGCCTCACTCCGCAGGACTCACCAGCAGCCCTCGAAAGTGGCGACAGTGTCGAAGATTTGACGGCGAGGTCCCGCTCAGATCCCCGCGGTGCCTCACGCCGCAGGACCCACCAGCAGCCCTCGAAAGTGGCGACAACGTCGCAGATCGCAGCCCCCCAGTGACTGCCAGGTCCCGCTCAGATCCCCGCGGTGCCTCACCCCGCAGAACCCACCAGCAGCCCTCGAACGTGGCGACAGCGTCGCATATCGCAGCCCCCCAGTGACTGCGAGGTCCCGCTCAGATCCCCGCGGTGCCTCACTCCGCAGGACCCACCAGCAGCCCTCGAAAGTGGCGACAGCGTCGCAGATCGCAGCTCCCCCAGGGACGGCGAGGTCTCGCTCAGATCCCCGCGGTGCCTCACTCCGCAAGACCCACCAGCAGCCCTCGGAACTGGCGACAATGTCGCAGATCGCAGCCCCCAGGCACGGCGAGGTCCCGCTCAGATCCCCGCGGTGCCTCACTCCGCAGGACTCACCAGCAGCCCTCGAAAGTGGCAACAGCGTCGCAGATCGCAGCCCCCAAGGAACGGCGAGGTCCCGCTCAGATCCCCGCGGTGCCTCACTCCGCAGGACCCACCAGCAGCCCTCGAAAATGGTGACAGCGTCGCAGATCGCAGCCCCCCAGGGACGGCGAGGTCCCGCTCAGATCCCCACGGTGCCTCACCCCGCAGGACCCACCAGCAGCCCTCGACAGTGGCGACAGCGTCGCAGATCGCAGCCCCCCAGGGACGGCGAGGTCCCGCCCAGATCCCCGCGGTGCCTCACCCCGCAGGACTCACCAGCAGCCCTCGAAAGTGGCGACAGTGTCGAAGATTTGACGGCGAGGTCCCGCTCAGATCCCCGCGGTGCCTCACGCCGCAGGACCCACCAGCAGCCCTCGAAAGTGGCGACAACGTCGCAGATCGCAGCCCTCCCAGGGACGGCGAGGTCCCGCTCAGATCCCCGCGGTGCCTCACCCTGCAGAACACACCAGCAGCCCTCGAAAGTGGCGACAGCGTCGCAGATCGCAGCCCCCCAGGGACGGCGAGGTCCCGCTCAGATCCCCGCGGTGCCTCACTCCGCAGGACCCACCAGCAGCCCTCGAAAGTGGCGACAGCGTCGCAGATCGCAGCCCCCCAGGGACGGCGAGGTCCCGCTCAGATCCCCGCGGTGCCTCACTCCGCGGGACCCACCAGCAGCTCTCGAAAGTGGCGACAGTGTCGCAGATCGCAGACCCCCAGCGACGGCGAAGAGAGGGCAGGAGGAAGCAGGAAGAGGCGGGAGGAGGAGGAGGAGGAGGAGGAGGAGGAGGAGGAGGAGAAGGCGGCGGAGAACGACTGGAGACCGCAGTGCTCTATTCAAAACGAATACCCAACCAAGGAGGATGGAAGACGAGGAAGAGGAGGAACCGGTGCAGGAGGATGGGGCGGAGGAGGACCACAAGGAGGAGGAAAGAGAAAGAGGAAAAAGGGGAGGAAGCGGAGGAAGAGAACTTGGAGGAGGAGAAAGAACAGGAGGAGAAGGAGGAGGAGGAGGAGGAGGAGGAGAAGGAAGAGGAATGAGGATGAGGAGGGGGAGACCCGATGGTTTCGAGGGCCCGTTCGACGGCATTTTGTATGGGGCTTCTCGAGCGAAGCTCTGAGTGTTGAACGAAAGTGTTGAGAACCCGTGTTTTTTCAATAATTTCGCTTTTGGGCCATCTTGGAGGTCATCCAAGAGCGTTCCGAAAAGATCCCTTAAAAAAGCTCTTGGCGCATCCCACTTTCTGTCAAGGATGTCTCAGGCGAAACGGGCATGCTTGAAGTTCCGAAGATTAGGCCAGCGATTTCACCATCCCCATATTCCGAGGATGTCTCTGGCGAAATGCTCATGTTCAGCATTTAACGTCTTAAGATGCGACCCCCAACATCGCGATTTGGCGAAGTTTGGGATCGTGTGAACGGGAAGCGCGTGAAAGGGAGGAGTTGCGCAAGAAACTCCAACGTCATCGCGATCAATCGACGGTCCGCGCGGATTCCTTGGATCTGCTCTGGACCCCCTCCCTGGCGCTCGGAGCGCGCCGGGGCGGCGCTGGAGGCGCTGCCATGCGGGCCCAGCGCCGATCCAAGAAATCCGCGCGGAGCGTTGAAAATTTACGCTTGTGCTTATGTTGTTCCCATCCTACTTGAGGACCGCATCCCAGAATTAATTTCGAGCACCCGGAAAAGTGTCAAAAGAGCGTCGAAACAGTGTCGAAACAGTGTCAGGCGAGTGTCTCCCAGGGCCCGACGCGTGAAAACCCCTGAGTTTGGGTACTTGTTTGGGCGCTCGAAAATCTCCCTGGCGAACAAGGCTAACGTAGGTTGGAGCATCATAAGCTTATGCCAGCCTCTCTCCATCGCGACAGACTCCACAGACAAACTGGCTCGGAGGGGCGGTGCGCGCCTGTGCGCCGGCGGGCGGCAACGCGCCGCCCGCACCGCCCCGCTCCGGGCTGGAGAGGGCGACGCGGCAGACGGCGCGGGGCGCCTGCTGCTTGCACGCCTGGGGACGCGGGCGGCGTCTCGACCTCCAGAGGCTCCAGCCTCCAGCCTCAGACTCCTCCTCCTCCTCCTCCTCCTCCTCCTCCTCTTCTTCCGTGTCCTCCTCCTCCTCCTCCTCCTCCTTCTCGTCCTCCTCCTCCTCCTCCTCCTCCTCCCCCCCCGTCCTCCTCCTCCTTCTCCTCTTCTTCCTCCTCCTCCTCCTCCTCCTCCTCCTCCTCCTCCTCCTCTCCCCCCTCCGTAGCCATTTTGGCTCAAGGCGTTGTGGCTCAAGGGGTGGCAAAGGCGTGGTCCGCCCACCCCCTCCCCAGGAACGCCATGACCCCAGCCGCCAGGTGCCCGTTTCTCTCGGGCCCTCGTGCATTCCTCATGGAGGACGCCTGCGCCGCACCGCCTCGCGAGGCGGGCGCGACCTCGCCTTCCCGCTCAACCCGCAGGAGACGGAGAGCGGCGGATGCGGCAAGCCGCCGCGCGCAGCGTGCGGCCTGCGTGCTTTCCGCGTCGCTCGGGCCGTTGTCGTGGACGCGGGCGGAGGTGCCGCCCGCGGTGCGCAGCGTGGCCCACCTACCGGCGGCGGCGGGCGCGCTGATGGCCGGCAGGGCTCTCCTCGGTTGCTTGGGCGAGACGGCCGCTGCTCGCACGCTTCTCCGTAGCCAAGCTGCTCGATACGCCCTTCGGGCGGGTGCTGTTGGTGCGTGTGGTCTTCGTGCTGATGCAGATGCTGGCCCCGGTGCTGGTGAGCCTCCCCTCGCACTTCGCGGCGGCGCTGTTGCAGTGCGTCGAGGGCTTCGCGGTCCTCGTCGGGGCGCTGTCGAGGCCCTTCGTCGCCGAGTTCCTGGGCCTCGTGGGCGAGTTTTCGGTGCTCGGCCGTGGTATGGCGCTCTTCGGCCGCTTCATGGGCTTCGAGGGCGCGAGTTCAAGGGCTTCGACTTCGAGTTCCCCACCTTTTCGCTCCGCACGGAGTTGGGCCCCGTCAGTGACTTGGGCGTTGAGGTCGGGACCACGGAGGCCCTCGGCGCCGTCGTTCCTACAACACGCTGTGCGAACCGTTCGCTACCAGGACCTGGCCCGCTCTACGGAGATCCTGCAGTGCCTGGCACGAGCTCTGGCCCGCTTCTCGGGATGCTCGCACGAGGACCTGGCCCGCTCTACGGGGGTCCTGCAGTACGTACCTGGTACGAGCCCTGGCCCGCTTCTCGGGGAGCTCGTGAGTGGACCTGGCCCGCTCTACGGGGGTCCTGCTGTGCCTGGCGCGAGCTCTGGCCCGCTTCTCGGGGAGCTCGCGCGAGGACCTGGCCCGCGGGCCATGCGGAGGCTTCCCGGGCCCTCCAGAGGCTTCGTGCAGCTGGCGGCCCGCGCCACGCGTCCGAGGGAGCTGGTCGTCGAGGCGCGCGAGCGCGAAGGTGAGGGCCCAGCCGCGCCTCCACCCTCCTCTCCCTGCCTGCCCAGCTCTGTGTTGCACGCCGTTGCCGTTGCCACCCCGCTGCTGCCCCTGGGTACCAGGAGTGCCGATGCGCACCTCGCGTTTCTTCTGGGCGATCCGAAGCGTTCCAGCTGCTGGAACGCTTCAGATAGCCCAGGACAGAGGAATCCAGCAGCGCCTCTGTCCTCGGCGATGCCTGGGAGACAGTGTGCTGCTGTGATATCGTTTGCGCGCTGTGCGAGCGAGGAGATCGGTGCAGGTTACACTGTCCAGAGTCGGACGACGGCGACTCTGAACTTGACCTGCCCCCTGATCGGCCTGCCCTCCGCAGGGCTCAGTCCAGCGGTGATTTTGCCGGGACGGTGTTTCCTCTCTGGAGCTGTCGCTGTAGCTCCGTCGTCGTCCTTCGGCGTCCTGCGCTTTCAGCCTCGCATCTCTTCTTTCGTGCGCTGCGCTCGAATAAGCTCTTCTCGCCTGGCCGCCCGCTCGATGCAGGTCGTGTGCGCCGCCCGGCCTGGCGGCAAGCGTAGCCGTGCCTGGGGGGCCGACTGCCCACCTGACCTGCGGCAGGAGGAGGCGAGGGGAGGCAACGAACACTCAGGAGGTCCCTCTCAGCCTCCGAGAGCCCTCGAGGCTGGGACACGACCAAATTCTTGGACGAGGCCCGACCGTGGGGGTGCCTGCCATCCCGAATTCTCTTCAGCTGATGCTTTACCTGAGCAGAGCGAGGCCTGTGGTTGCACTGTGCCACTAGCAGGTCGCCTGGCCTGTAGTCCTCACAGTAGGCCCCGCATTTCACACAGAAAACAATAGGCACTCCAGCACGGACAGGGCTCTCGATGACACAGCACATTAGAGCATGGCCTTGCAGGAAAAAGGCTGAAGTGGCCAGGTCGGCCCAGTCCAAGCAGCCCGTCCCTCCCGACGCGAAGTCCACCCCCCCCCCGCCCACAGACTCCTCTATCTCTGGCTCGGGCTGAGGCGGCAACTCATGAGCCTCGGGAGCACTATTTTCCGAGAGAGCAAGGCCGACTGTGTCTAGACGCCTTTCCGCCTGGCCCTGCAGGTGGACCTCTAATTGGGCAGCCCACTTGGCCGACTCTTTCACAAGACACTTGAACCCTCTGTACAAGTCTACGTCCTGCTGGCACAGTTGGTGCTTAGCAGCGCCCATCTTTGCATAGGAGTCGACCGAATCATTAGCTCGCTTTTCCCACATGGTCGTCTTGCCATTGTGGACATCCGAAATCGAGCAGTGAGCTGCTGTCTTAAACGCCGAAAAATCTCCAGGAGAAAAACTGGACCAGAAGGGAGCCCACAGGTGGGCCCTGGGCCCTCCAGCCGAGGCCCCCGCCCCTTGGCCACCCCAGAGGACGTCCAGAGCACCCTGGCAGTCACAGTATAAATCTATCGGCGCCATCGCACACTGAACCAGCATGTATACAGCATAGTCCTCCCCGTCCTTGGCCGTTTGGCGAGGCCCATGGGAGAAAGGGACGGGTCCGTAACACGCCGAGATGACATTGCCCAGGGGATCGGCCTGGACTAAGGCCCAACCAGCCCTCGACAGCCCAGGGATCCCAGGCCAAGGCGCGGACCCATCCGAAACAATTAGACCAGTGAGGCGGCCTGTCTCAGGCCTATTTATCCAAAACACAGTCTGTTCAGGCTCCTGGGCAGGGAAGAGCGCCAGCGGCGACGGAAAGATCGCGCGCGCGAATCTCTCGGCCAGCTCCTCACCTCCCTCGAGCACTCGGGCCGCCCGTCTGGCTAGCTGCGGCGAGACCATGTCCCTCCTGAGCCCCGCGTGTGCGGAGCAGCGAAACTGTCGATGAAAGAGGGTCCCCGCTTCCTCCTGACAGAGTCTGCACATGCCGCAAGTGTGAAACCCATGCCTGTGCACTCTAGCTTGAGGCCAGTGCACATTACTCATTAGGCTCCTGAGGGCTCTCTGATGCTGGGGCTGCCAAGAGGAGGAGGAGGAGCGGAGGAGGGGCCTCACAGCATCCCAGAACAGAGGGTACCCTTGGAGCTCAACACCTAACTGCAACAACGCCTGTCTGTCCGACGCCCTGACCGCCGCCGCGCGGACTTGCAAACGAAACTCCACAGGCGCAATCTGAGAAAGATTCCAGACCTGCCCGAGGTCGGTTTCCACCTTGCGAAAATCTCTAAACGTCCAGCCCACTCGAGCAAGGCTGAGCACTGCCACATCCGCAGGTGTCGCAGCTCCCCGCCAAGGGTGCCTTTTCAAATTGGCTCGAGCTATGGCCGCGTCGGCCGTCGCATTCAAAATCGAAACCTTGGGAAAACTGCCCCAGACCGCAGTGGCCCATTGGAAGGCCACATGGCCTGCATAGGCCACGAACGGGTCGACGATTTCTCCCAGACGATACGAATGCAGCCGGATTCCCAGGGAGGCCCCTTTGGGGTGACGTCCTAGTGCGTGAGCCGCCGACAGCCTAAGGCCATGCATGGCCGTCGGCGATATACCCAAGACACTACTGCCCCAGAGGGCCGAAACTGTGGCCCCGATTCTCTGTACAAGGGCCACGTCGGCCCCAGCCTCCCTCAGTAAACGAAGTCGCTTCGAGCGGGAACCTGCATCAATGAACCTCGCTCTCTGCACTCCCACACGTCGACGTGAGCCCGTCGTAGCATCCGTGCCGAGGTTGCGCGCGTGCTCGACCCGAGACGTACCAGGCAAGCACCAAGAGCCCACAACATAGGTCTGAACCTCTCGGGTGCACAAGTACTTCGTTTTCTTGATGTTCACAGGCAAGTGGAGCTCCTCAAAGCACGAGAAGAGCTGCGCGACTGCACTCGATAGCACTTGAGCGACCTGAACTGGCCGACCGCATGCCTGCAAAGCCACGTCGTCTACGACGTTGCGGATGAATAAATTCGGCCTACCTTGCTGAGTTAAGAGAAGCGGACGGAGCAACAGCAACTTAGCCAGTGTCGTCGCTCCTGAGCATCCAGCCACCACAGCTGCATTCGCCAAGTAGGCCGACGATACGGCACCTCCATACATCAAAGCCTTATACCCAGCATACATAGAACAGTACCCTCTGGGGACCTTGATGGGGAACCCATACTGGAGCCCCGCAGCTCTGAGGCCTTGGTGCCTAATGTGTTCGTAGAAGCGGCCCAAGTCGACCAAGACTGATCCACTCTGGAACCCCACTTCTTTGCAAAAGCCCCCCAAGAGATTGTGAACCCAGCCAGCTCTCTCACAGGTATTGTGTGGCCCGGAGCCCCGAAAGAAGGCCTCTGCATGCTTCTTCTCCCATGCCTGACAATGTGGCTGGCGGAGTCTCGACCACAGGCGCAGCACCAGGCAGAGGAGGCCGACGGGGCGCACGCCGCCGTCGGGCTTGTCTAAGAAGACCATGTTGGTCAGGAAGACGAGAAGTTCCTGTGGTCTGTCCTCAAACCTGCGCAGAATATCTATAAGCCTTAGCTGGTGTTCTTCCGTGAGGCTCAGCACCCATCTTGGGTGAAAACCATCCCAGCCCAAGCCTGCACCAGGCCCATACTTACGACAAACTCTCAGGAGCCGATCCAGGGCTAGAGGTTCCAATTGGGCTTCGTCTACAGGGACAGACCACTGGGATGGGTGCTCTTCTTGCCTATCTGCTACACACCACAGCGGCACCCATTGGTCTAGAAGTGCCGACAGAGCTCCAGCACCTACTTGTGGGACGCCCTCGGCGTCGAGAAGAGAAGTGACGTCGGATGCCTTCTGCTTTGCAAACTTGTGCGCTGACTTCCCTCCTCCTTTAACACTTTCCACCGCCCAGGTCCTCCACTCCTTCAATGATGCCTTTGAATCCTCCCGTCTCCTTCTGTCCACCTCCTCGTCCATCTTATGCAGGGTATCGTGGACTGGGTCATCGCCCGTGGTGATGACATCGGCGAAGGTGCACAAAAAACTGGGCGAGAGCTCGGCATCAGCAGCGAACGGGCCCATGTCGGCGACCATGGCCTTCAGGCCCCTGGACAACTGATCGAGGAGCATGCGGCCCTGACGGCCTGCTTTGCCTACGCGAGTCTGACATGCTCGCCTGCACAGTGCCACATACGAGATCCAAGCCGTCGTCGATCTGGAAAACCTGCGCCTTTGGTCCTCTTCCCAAACCGAGGCCAAGGAGACAACTTTTGATTTCGGTCCAGCAGCCCTGCCCACGAAAGCCCTGGAGTACAGCCCGTCAACCCCATGAATCTGGATCAGGCGCCTCTCCGAAAACTCAAACCACTCCTTCACCATGAGGTTGAGATCAGCTGAGGCCCCCACTTCCCAAGACCAATTGTACACCACTGGGGCCTGCATGGGACCTGTGAGCTCCATTGGGAAAGCTCTGAACCGTACCTGCTGGTTGATCGTCGACGTATGGCTCAGATCCTTTAGCTTTAACACGACTGGCACGTGCGGGTAGAGCGGAGCCTGGTCCATGACCGAGATCTCCTCAAC